TTTGGACCTAGCTGGACGTGATTGCAAAAGGGATTTAAGGCCTAAAATTCTAACAAAAGTAGATCAGATTGCAAATAGTAGAAAACAAAAAAATGGAGAAAATCTCAAACATTCTTCAAGGGTGATGATGCTTGTGTGCCTGTGAGTCGGGGATTATGGCGGATTGTGGTATTTCCTAAATGTTTTCCTATGAAATAGTTTTTAACTGAGGATAACAAGTTCTTCTTAAGGGTGATGATGCTTGTGTGCCTGTGAGTCGGGGATCATGGCGGATTGTGGTATTTCCTAAATGTTTTTCTATGAAATAGGTTTTAACTGAGGATAACAAGTTCTTCTTATGTCTTGGTCAAAAGGAGACTAGAATCCATGAAGTTGATGCTCTCTCAATTCTCATGTCATTCCACAGGAATGTTACAATCGCTAAATAAGGCCGCAAAATTTATTGGAATATCTCTATCCTCTTAGATTCTATGGTTAACTGTTTCGTTTCCACTATGCAACAGTAAGAGGTAATAGCTTCGTAGAAGATTTTAACATTTTAGCTAGTCAAACCAGAAGTAAATGAAATTTGGTGGTTAACTAACAACATAGGCCATGAAAGCATGAAAAACACTACAAGAAAAATATCTAAAAAAATCACGATAAAAATCACTACCCTTACACCACAGAGGCAAGAAAAGAGTTTAGCCACACATTGTTGAGAAAACCATGAATAAGAAATCCATGCAGATCTTCATTGCAAGAAATAAAAGAAAGTTAAACATACAAAAAAGGCTTGTCCTCTCTACAAGTGCATCATCTCTCCATCTCATACAAAAAATCTCTCAAAACTCACAATAACTCAAAGTGAAACACTCAACCCTCAAAAGGTTTAAGCCCAAGGAGAGGAAGAAAACCTCAGGTAAGCACTCAAAATCTCTCCTATTCTCCGCCTCCAGCTGTTCTAGATCTCTCTTCTTTTTTTAGGAAGACCTCAAAATCATTCTTATATATGAATTCCTGAATTTGACAAGAAAATTTCTTTCTAAAATTATTTACCGCTTTGTCTCATGCCCAACTTTGGCATGGTCACGCCGCTTCACTATGAATCTGACATGATCATGTCGTATCCTGGTGTGGTCACACCGCTAATCTCGATCACATAGCGTGGTCACACCACTTTCAGGTGTGTTCATGCTGCTTTAGGCCGCTTTTACGTTTATTTTTCTCATTTTAAATTGCTTGTATTCAACACGTATAATCTACACAACATGAACAAAATGTTTTTCAAGTGTACGTGTGTGATAAATCAATATAAATAACATATAAAATACAAGATAAAATGTAGGTGAAATCAAGTAATCTTGATGCAAGTCAATTAACTGTCACTTTATCAATATCTAATAAACTTTGTCACTTCAACACCAACATCTAAACATTTTTTAAAATGTTTAAAATAAAGTGCTTGAATTATGATTCATGTGGTCTCATCATTTGAGCTTGCTTCATAAAAGAATGAGTAGACGTAGTAGCCTTCAGATCAATCTAAATGAAGTAATCAATCTAAATCCTAAGAAGCTCTTCTTCTTCATGAAAAACTCTAAATAATATTTCAGCTTACTTGATGGGTTGCTTGTATATGATGCATTCTATAATAATTCATTATTGCATTTTGCTAAACAAAAGGATGATAAAGAGTAGAAAGAGAAATAGCCACTAATGTTCCACATTTTTTTTGCATGAAAGTGAAAATTGGCCAGCACAAAATTTGTGTCTTGCACTCGAGATATTACATCCTTCAAGCAATCCTAATGCTCAATCATGATTTTTAAACTCATGTATAGTGAAGTGATGGTGACTTAAAGATTGCTAACATATAGTTTTTGTAAGTACCACATTATGAATGATAATGCCCTAGTTTCATTGTTGGTTAGAGAGTAGCAATAAAATGGCTTCTTAATTAAGACACTTACCTTAATAGCTGGCCCTAAGAAAATGAAAGGATGGTAGTGGTTCACAAAATTTGTTTGGTTGTTGAGATCACTATCAATGTTATGAATGTTGTACTTAGGATGATATTTTGAGAAGCAATAAGAGGCTTTATAAAACCAATATCCACAACTGAATCTAATATATATTGGTAGCGAGACAACTAAAATAACATGTCAAATTTGCTTGAATGCTCCGAACCACATTAGGGTTATGAATGCTAAAATTTTTTGAAGAAAAAACTTTGCCACAATTTCAAACAACACATTCAAAAAATGGCAACAATAGTGATAGGTCCATGTTTAGAGCAAAAAAACCTTCCATCAAACATTTTTTAGTTGATTTAAAGAGGCCACAATAAGAGCATCAAATATGCTGAAGAATAAAAATGGTTTATTTGATAAAATACAAGTGATGAGACTAATGTTCTTCTTGAAGGTTCACACACATAGAGGAAGAGAGAGAGAGAGAAGAAGAGAGAGAGAGAGAAATAAATAGAAGAATAGAGAAAGATGGAGAATTTGACATTGAAGTTAGTTTTCTGTATTCATTGAAGAGTTGAATCACACAAAAAACACATTAAAATATATGGAAGAGCAATAAGGAAACAATTAAAGAAAGAAGCAATGCACAAATCAATTTTAAGTAGTAAGTCATTGTTGGCCCAAGGCCACTTCATGAGGTTATAAAGAGCTAATAATGGTGAGCGAGTGTAGGTGAAATGCGTATAAATCCTCACTCTCATCTCTCTTTTATGTGATAAGTTTTATTTCATAATTATCAAAACTTCAAATCTTACATTATAAAATAAAAGAGAAGGGTATTAATGTGGAAGTATTGATGTGCTAATGACCTAGACCATTGGTTGGTATGATGACAATGACTATTTGTCAACCTAAGGTCAAAGTATGGTGTAGCAGGGATGTCAAAAATGACTTGATACAATAGCCCAAACTAGAATTGACTAAAAAAATCTATAATTGGGTTCACTCACTTACTATTAAGCTTGGGTTTGAATTAGGTTTGGGTTGAATAAAATATCCTATTATTAATTCGATTTGAAACAATTATATGTAGGTTTGGATTAAACGTACTTAGGTTTGGTTAATTAGATTAAACATCTCCTTTTTTTTTCATTACTTAGGACATTTTGATAACAAAAAATGATCTACAAGATAAATTGGCTATACAAGTCAATCTCAAGTTAAATGAGTGGGTTGAGACAGAGTTAGGTCAAAGCTTTTGACTTGCTTAGTAAATATACATGTTCATATCATATATATTTGAATCAAATTAACTTTAGGTTGATTCAAATTCGACCCATCAATTCAAATTGATACCCTTATGATTGAGGTTATGGGCTACATGTTGACTATGGAGAAACCTATGTGTTAATTAGAAATTAATGGATTGGAGGATAGCCTAAAGCCTAATAACCAAAAAGTAACAAGAACAAACATGGATAGAGGATCATCTGTCCCAATGACATAGACAATATGCTAGATAGCTATTGTAATATGAGAAAACTTATATAATGTGTTGGTTATCTCATTTGACTAGTCATATGTTGGCCACATACCACTATTGGATTGCTTGAGTGTGGCCATGATGATTATTAGAGCATCATATGAGTAGGACAAAGCTTTCGCAGACCAAAGGAGATTTTGATTAGAAGGCACCTTAACTTGATCCATCCAACCGTTATGAGAAAAGTTGATTATATAAAGATGCTAAAACATGGCATGAATATGCAAATGTGATGATGATTTCTTGTGAGGAAGACATGAACAACATACTAGAGAGTATTGTAGCATGACATAGTATCTTCGCGTGATGGTTGCATCATATGAGAAGTGACGACATAACATTATTGGATTACTTAGATATGGTAGTTGTGGTTATTAGAGGCTCATTACTTGAGAATAAAGCTTTCAATGGCTTGAAAAATTTCTATTTGTAAGGAACTTTGAGATAATCTAGTCTGCAGTTATGGGAGAAGTCAATTGTCTAATGATTTTAGTGGTTGATATGAATTTACACGAGCAACTGAGATTGCTTATCCTCGAGCATGTATAGAATGCCAGGGAGCTATAATAGTATGTTAGAACATCACTGACATAGTGGTTGCGTCCTATGAGTGGTGGCCACATAACACTACTCGATTACCTAAATATGCAATGATGGTTGCTAGAGCGTCATAACTTGAGGACAAAGATTTTGAACGCCTAAGGAGATTCTGATTAGAAGAAACATTGAGTTAGTCTAACCAATAAATATGACAGAAGTTGGTTTTCTAAAGATGGGTAAATCTTAACTGTTAGCAACATTACTACTGTAGTCGTGCGGTCACCTTTGGATCCTATCGAAAGAGGGCAAGTAGTCACCTGTAAATTTATATGATGCCTAATCTCGAAGTAGCTCAACCTACTCAAGGCATTCAAATCCAATCAGTTTGATGCGAGAAATCAAGCCTGCCAAAAAGACAGAGTTTCACTAAGTCACATAGATAAAATGAAGCTCTAGAAATGAGAGAGTATCAAACATATAGAATTTTGAATTCAAGTTGATTTGCTTTTTTAAATTTCAATATATATTTTTTTTCAAAATATATATTTGGTTGCTTGAAATTGAAATAATTGTATTTTTAAAAATGATGTTATAAGTTAACTTTTTTAATTTAAATGATTTATTCGTACACTAATATTTATTTTAATTCACAAAAAATTTATCCAATTTACACAAAACTTTAATATGTTTTTTAGGGTTACTTACATATATGCTTCACAAATCTTATGTATTTACGTATAAAATATGTATAAAACTCTAATCTTTAATATTAAATTAAAAATATTACTATTATTTATTTTAAGAAAGTAAATATTTTCATGCATAAATTGATATATAAATATGAAAATTGCTTGAATATATTTTCTAAATTTTATTTCAGAAGAAATAAGAAACCCATGTACTTTAAAAAATTGTTCGCCTGTAGCTACATGTCCTCTTCCCAACAAATATAAAGCCTTTACTTGATGAGCTGTCACCGCTCACCCCATTTCTTCCTCGCTTCCCCGTTCCATTCTCATTCGTATTCATCAATAACGTCCCCGATTCCGCAGTGGTTCGCCCAATTTCTTCGCCCGCCATGGCGAACACCTCAAATCCTCTCCCTGCTCCAGGTATTTATCCATTCCCTTCCCTGACTGCGTCACGCTGCTCATCTTAAATCGTTTTCATTACTCGCATTCATTCTCTTTCCTCACGCTTGTGTTCAGAGGCCGTGCTGGTGCTGGTCTCATCCCTCGCGGACGAATCTTCGCTTGTTCGCGATGCCTCCGTCTCCGCACTCAAGGAAATCGCACCACTGTAATAGCCCCGCACTATTTAATCATCCTTTTTTCCCGAAATTCTTATATCACTTGCTTTTTCAATGCTCTTTGGCTTATTTTTTGAAATGGACTGATAGGCATCCTCTTATCGTACTTGACTGCTGCTGCGCTGTCTCGAGAGGTGCACGCCGGGTAATTATAGGTTTTAATGTTGTAACGTCTTGCGTTACTGGATTTGTATCTTAATATTGCCGGGCATGCTGTTGCAGCGGTTTGCAAATATGGCCGGTTTGTTTTCAGTGATGGCTTGTGCTGTGCGTGCCATGGATAAGAGAGACGTGGACCCTGCTCTAATGACTAAGCTCGCAAAGATTGCAACGGCTGAGATAATTACTTCAAAGGTTTTGTTTATGTTTCTTTCCCATATTGCTGAATCTTTAGTTTGATTTCTGCTACTTTGGCGTAATAGGAATCGCATTATTATGGCTTTCTGAAGCTATCATGTCAAACTACGGCTCATTGCTCTGTAAGAGCGTAGCTTCAGTTCCATTTTCTACATTGTTGAGGTTATTTGTCTTCTTTAAAAATTGTCCTTTCGTCATGGTCACTGTAGATAACTAATCATTCAACCTTATCACTTGGTTTAGTCAATATACTATTAAAGTTTGCATATTTATGAGAGTTATTTGACTAATATCGTTATAAATATTTTTTGTGAAATCTGAAGACTAAGATGTATAATGATTGTAAAACATATATATTTTTTATTAATAATTAAAAATCAAGGAGTTGTTTGCTTTGGTAATAATGAGATGAATCTTATGAGTCATACAGTGAGGTTACTAGAGAGGGTGAAATGAAGTTTGTAAAAAATATGATTAATTTTGATGAATCAATTAGTAGCATATAATAAGGATCACTTACGGAAGATAATATTGTTCTTAGGTTACTAATTACATGTATAGGGCAAGGGAAGGACATTCTTATTATTTTTATTGATTTTGAAATATGATTAAGCGCTAGAAGAATAGTTTTATTGGGCATAAAATAGAAAAAATTCTGCATCAATGTTATAATGAAGTTGTTAATAATGTGCATGATAGATGGGTATGATATAACTAGTTGTGGAGTGTTTAAAATATTTTTGTTTGCAGTAGCAGACTAGGAGTGCATTGTCGGTTATTATGGTAGTCATCATCATTTTTTTCTTATGAATGCTCTTACTAAATTTTTTGTACTTTTTATAGATAGTATAGTTCAGATTGGTGGATTATTTCTAAAGCAAATGAACGGTTAGAATTATGGAGAAAATTTAATATCTTAAGGAGCTAAATAAACATGATAAGTTAAGTACTTGATATGCAATTATAGTGGATCTGAAGTTGCACATTATGAGAGTAATGTTGAGGTTAAAATATTCATATCTATTAGGTTTACAGATCCTAGACCTATAATATTATGAATGAAGCTATATAAAGTAAATTATAGAGTCAATTAAAATGAAGAAGTGATTCACTAAATGATAAGAGAATAACAAGGAGACTTGAAGTCTAATTTTTCAAAATCTTGATATGATTGACTATGTCGTATGCATCCTGGTTTTAAGCAATAAAGAGGTCACTGCTAACTGAGTTTAATGTGATAGAATGAGAATATTAAAATGAATGTATGGTAAAATTGAGATAGATAATAAATCTTAGGAAAATTATTTAAACTTTGCATAAATCCAAATTACCTGGTTCCATTAAGATCATTGAATCTCATTTGCAAACCTAATTTTTCAAGCATATTCAAAATTCTCATTGGTGGTAGATGCCTACTAGAGTTACCCACACAAATTCATCCTGTACACCCTGAGACTTCTTGAACGGTAGTATGATGGAGGTGAATCAAATATTTTAATAATTTATATTTTCATTTATGATAGGAACTTCTATTTATATAGATGAAGGGTTTGGATGATAAATTCATATATGAGTTGTGGAATTATGTGATTAATGCTCACCCATGTGGAACAAAATTTAAATTTATGTTCATCCAACATTCCATCTCAAACATATTGGCTGTCAAATTCATTTTTTACTTGTCATTACTGGGAGTAGAACATGTGGCCAATGAGGACAGAAAAATGACACAGAATCTGACTATTTAAACAATTATGATCCCATAAAATCTAAAGGGTAAAGTTCAGATGTCCTGCAAAATTCTTCTGCTTGACGAGAGGCAATTTTATATTGCTCCTTAAAGCATTTTAGCCTAGCTTCGTAATTAAAATCTCAGAAACCTATTGGAACCTTTTTTTATAATAAACTAGAACTGTTCATGATGGCAACAATTGCTTTTAAATCACAAATCTAAGGGTCTTATTTCATTGGTTCAATATGCTCCAGTGTCATAATCAACAAATAAAACTTAATCATAACCGTTCTAAAGTACTGAACTCAACATGAAGTTACAGTTCAACAAACTCAAGGGCTGGATTGACAAAGCCTTCTAGCTTAAAAACTTAAACTCTAATATGTCTTGCTAATTTAACAAGTTCCCCTAGCCAAACTGGCATGAATATTTGAGGGTTTAGTAAATATCATGTTCAAATTTTATCCTTGCGGGCTTAATAAGCTTAAAGATCAAACTGGCACGCTCACCCACAAGCTTAATGTTCAAACAGTATCATCAATTCCATCTCCAATTGATATATTGGTGTTAGTGATATCGAAGCTCTCAAACCACAATAGGAAAAATAAAATATTATTACTCAAAAAGAACATAGGGTTACAAGCAAAGGCACTTGAAACTAGGAAATAACAAGGTCACAACACGATTCAACTAGGGCTTAGGTCGATGGAGGTGGTGCTGCGGTTTACAGAGGAAAAGCTTGCATTGAAGTGGGGGAATGGCCAGAAGGCAACAAAAATGGCAAGGGACGACTGCAGTTGGCTGTTGGATGGCAGGAAGGTTGGTGGCTGCAGGGTATGGTGAGATGGCTACAACAGAGAATTGTTAGCAGGGTGTTGGAAGGGTCGGGTAGGCTCACAGGATGCAGCAGTGTCATCGGACGGCTGGACAATGATATGGCATTAAGGGAAGGGCTTGTGGGGTTATGGAGATGATGCTGAAAGGTAGGATAGGGGTAGAATAGCAAAAGAAAGGAGTAGCAGGACAGTTAAGGTGGAGGTATGAGACAACGAAACAACTAAACAGGTGGCCGGGATAGTGAGGGGCAGCGAAGGGGAACGATGGTAGACTGTGGGACAACAAAAGGGAGGGTTGTTTGGGGACTGCGACGGTAAGGGGGATGGTTGGAAAGGTTGTGGAGGAATTTGTTAAGGATAAATATCCTTGCGGGATCAAGCTATAGCCGGAGCACCACTCGAACCCTTGGAGTTGGTTTCCACCTTAGATAATTTACAGCCGAAGCACCTTCTTGCTTCTGATATAGCCCCAAAAGGGGAACGCCAATAGTTGACAACCGTCTTGAACAGAAACGTTGGCAAAAAACTGAAAATGTAAAACAAAGGAACCACATAAATAAAACCTAGATACTTAGGATTGGACTCGCCTATGGAAAGGATGCTCCAAAACAACATGGACCAGTTCAATCTAGATGATAGAATCGTGGGCATGGCTCTCGCGACTCTTTACGCTTGCACCCACCTGTAGGAGAAGGTGTTAAGGGGGGGGGGGGGGTTCTGTTAGCTACCGCAACAGTCCCTGTGGTTCGGAGAGCTTCGTCCTTATTTCTTGAAGCTTCTGTCTCCTCATATAGTCAGGTCGATCATGTTCAATGTGGTGAAGCTACTGTAACTTCTTGGTAAGTCACTCCTGTCGACATTGTCATTCCAAAGCACTTATGGATAGAATAAATATCCATTTGCTTTTGACACAATATTGGGTAGCTGCATATAATCGTAGATTCTCCCAAAGTAACTCTCGAGCCACTAGTTCTGTAATTGACCTATTCCACTTTTTGTTACTCGACTGAATGTATCTGATAAATATGTAAGGATGATTCAATTTTGGGATGAACTCTATGGCAGATTGAGCAACTCTCACTAGCAACCATTCAAAAGAGACCTATTCTCCTATGGTAGGACCTGGATTTCATTGAAGAATTTTCTTCGCCATCAAGCTCCAACAACTTCCAAGGCTGTTGTTTATCCATCCCGCCTAATCATCTGCAGGAGTTATACTGTTGAATATATTTTAACACCTAATTAACTCCATATAGTCTTCCAGAAGCAGCATAAAAGAACCTCATCTCTGACATATTGGACCTCCCTCAGTAGGGGCAACTCAAAAAGGAGTCTATCTATCTGAAAAGTATGAGTTTCTCTTATACTCAAAAAGGAGTCTATCTATCTGAAAAGTATGAGTTTCTCTTATATGGGGTTGCTAGGTGTCCAATGTCGGTTCCTCAGACTTATATGACCGTCTGGGATCACCAATGTGAATTCTATTGGTGTTTCTCTTATGACCTCAACTTGAAGCATTCATCCCTCATCGACTGAGATTTGGCCTTTCTTCTTTATATTATCATCTTCTTTAGTGTCTATTGTATTATTACTCCTTTCTTCAATAGTTTCCCGCTCAATGAAAGATATCATCTCCCTAGTTGTGAAATTTGCTTCAATATGCCTAAATTTGTGGCACTTGAAACATTTTTTAGCTTGGATAAATTTAGGAATACTGGTTTGTTCCACCTGTTCTCTACTTCGAATTAGTTTCTCCTCAAATGGGCCAGCTTGAATTTTTTCCCTGAGTATACTCTGGCTATAAGATTTCGGAGTTGAACCTTGCTTGTAAGATGTGGTAGTCGTCCGACAATGTAGTCCCTCTACTTTTGAAACTAGGGTTTGAACATCCGGTTTGTAGTGAGCTGGTAGGAATTGATGCTGCATCTCCCGTTTCATCTGGGAATAGAGTTTTCCCTCCACTGAGATGCACTCTTCCTTAACTTACTGGTGGCTAGTTTCACTATTCTGGAAACTATTCTATTAGGTGAGACGACCTGACACTCAAAAACACATTCCAAGGTCCCGAGCCACTCGATGACCTCATTCTGATCCATGTGGTCATGAAAATATGACAAATTAATTTTTATTTTAAAATTTTGACTTCTCAGATATTACATGTCAAGTTTTTGGGGTAAAGATTACACATTCTTGACGCCCGTATGGTGGACAAGATTCACTCCATTTCTTCTATCTATCAACTCACCGTTGTGGTTTAGGGTGACCTGTCTGGATGGTCTTCTTTTCTCAATTTTATTTGGCCGTTATAACACTCGACAGAGTTGTCATTGTATCTCTTCTATGGTAAATTTCTGATTAGCATTTGAGTAGTACCTTATCGGTGACATGTTTACGATTTGAGATTGGATATGTGGAAGTGGGTATATAGAGACGATGTAGGGCGAGAAGAAAAAATTTATAGGTGGGGAGGTGCGAGGTATGCTAGAAACCATAGCACTCGTGTTAAGCTAGCTTTGATATCAAATTATACTGGAGTTAATCCAAACCACAATTGGTAAAACAAATATTATTACTCAAAAAACAAATAGGATTACAAACAAAGACACTTGGAAATAGGAAATAACAAAGACAACACGACTCAAGTAGGGCTTAGATTGAGAGAGGTGGTGCTTCAATATACCAAGGAAAAGCTCACATGGAGGTGGGGGAATGGTCGGACGACATAATGGGATGACTGCGATTGGTTGTCGGATGGCAAGAAGGTGGGCAATCGCAGGGATGGTGAGGTGGCTGCAACAGTGCGGTGGGCTATCAAATGGTAGGAAGGTGTGCGGGCCGCAGGGGATGGTGAATTTCTCTCTTATGACCTCAGCTTTAAGCTTTCCTCCCTCATTGGTTGGGATCTGGTCTTTCTTCTTTGTGACATCACCTTCTTTAGTGTCTACTATATTATTGCTCATTTCTTTAAGAGTTCCCTGCTAAGTGAAATATATGATCTCCTTGTGAAATCTGCTTCAATATATCCAAATTCGTGGTTGTTGAAATACTTTTTACCTGAGATAAATTTAGGAATATTGGTTTACTCTACCTGTACTCTACTCCGAATTAGTTTCTCCGCAGACAGGGCCAACTTAGATGTTCCCTTTGGTATAATTTGGCTATAAGATCCTATGATTGAAGCCTGCTTGTAAGATGTGATAGTCGTTTGATGATATGATCTATCCACTTTTGAAACTAGAGTTTGAATATCCGGTCTGTAATGAGCTGACAAGAATTGACATTGTATCTTCTGTTTCACCTTGGACCAGATGGTAATATTACTATTCTTGTTGTCGAAGAACCTTCAGGTTGGCCCACCAATGAGATGCCTGGCGGCTAGTTTCAACATTCCGTCAGGTGGGACGTCCTAACACTGAAAAATACATTCCAAGGTCTTGAACCACTCGATCACATCATTTCGATCCATGTGGTCATCAAAATATGAAAAATCCACTTTTACTTCAAAATTCTGTCTTCTCAAATATTTCATGTCAAGTCTTCGGAGTACTTCTTCATTCTTTACATCCATATGGCGAAAAATTTTCACCCAATTCCTTTGATCTATCAAGTCACCGTTGTGGCTTTGGGTATCCTTTCCTCAATTTCATCTAGCCATTGTAGCCCTCGGCGGAGTTGTCACTGTATCTCTTCCATAATAAACTTGGAAAACAAATATTCTTACTCAAAAAACAGATAGGGTTACAAGCAAAGATACTTGGAATTAGGAAATAACAAAGACAAAACACGTCTCAACTAGGGTTTAGGTTGAGGGAGTCGGGTGCTGTTGTTTATCAAGGAAAAACTCACATGGAAGTGGGGGAATGGTCGGACAACAACTTGGGATGACTGCGGTTGGTTGTTGGATGGCAGTAAGGTGGGCAGCCGCAGGGATGGTGAGGTGGCTGCAACAAAGAAGTGGTGGTTGGTCATTGGGAGGGTCGGGTAGGCTCTCAATAGCAAGAAGAGGAGTTATAGGGCGTTGGATGGCTGGACGACGATGTGACAGTAAGGGAAGGGCTTGAGAGGCTGCGACGATGATGTTAGATGGTGGGACAGGGGTTGAACAACAACAGAAAGGAGTGGGGGGCTGCGATAGCGAATGTGGAGGTCTGGGACAGCGAAAGAAGCGAAGCTGGTGGCTGGGATAGTGAGTTGTAGCGAAGGGGAAGGGCGATGGACTGCGGGACAATAAAGGGGAGAGTTGTCCGGGGACTACATCAACGGGGTGGATGGTTGGATAGGTTGTGGAGTTGTGTAAGGATAAATATCCCTGCGGGATCAATTTATTGCGGGAGCATTGCTCGAACCATTGGAGACGACCATCACCTCGGACGGGTTACAGCCGCAACATCATATCGCCTTCAAATACAATCGTAGAAGGGGAATAGCGGCAACAGATAGCTGTCTTGAACAGAAACATACGCCAAAAACTGAAAATCTAAAACAAGGGAATCACATAAATAAGCTTTAGATACTTAGGATTGTATCCCCCTATGAAAAGGAGGCACCAAACCAATGTCAGAGAGCCGGTCGGCCCTCCCAGGTCTGGGCCCTGACGGTAGAATCGCGGTACAGGGCTCTCGCAGCTCTTTACGCCCGTGCATTGTTGCATAAGTTGCGGAAAGAAAAGGGGATTGGGGGTAAGCTTCCACTTCAGTCAGTTATGTAGATGCATCCTTTTTGTGATTTTGAAACATCAAGGCACATTACTTGGCAGAAAATGCCCTACTAATCAAACCATAAATACCACTTGTATGAATTATATTAAAATCTTACATAGCAAGAAAGTTGACTATTGAGCAAGTTACTATTGCTTCCGTTTTTTTGCTTCTTGAAAAGCAGCTTTTATTGGGTTGAATTGTTCACCTCCACTCTCTTATGGTTTGTATTCTCTATTTTGAAACCTTTGTTGTTGATTGCTGCGAGTTAAGAAATTACTCTCCACTTATCCTGATTTAGTTGCTGTTCATTTACTAGTTTCTAACAAATCACACCAAATGTAAGGTAAGGCTGATTCTTCGCTCATTTTTTCTTCCATGTTAAATCTTTGAGTGCTTAACTGCATTTATCATTGGTTAGGATTAAGAAACTTCTGTATTCTTTTGATAATATTTATGCTGTTGATATCAGGCTTTTAACTGAATTATCTTTTATCATGTCCAGGATCTGGATGCTGAGTGGCAAAGAGCTGCAGCTAGTTTACTTGTTTCGATAGGATCCCATGTGCCTGATTTGGTAACTACACCAAAAGTTTAGTCTTTAATGGATGAAGTGGAGCTTGATTTTTTTTTACTATGACATATTGTTTGGTCCGCCCTTAATCTTTAAAGATTTATAAGAATTAACGTAGAGTATTGTTTTTGAGTTAGTCTATCACAACGCCTTGACTCTGTATTTTTGGATTCTTACTATCTTGAAGTAGAAACTTAGATTTAGGCTCTATTTGGTAACATTTTCTATTCCTTGATGACCTGTTCAAAACAACTGTGTCAGTTTTTGGTGTGTTTGGTTAGGGGGTTATTTGTTTCTGTGAGTAAAATTCTGAGCTTTTGGAAATGAACTTTCTAGAACGATGGATTGATCTTACATTCAACTCTAGTGTTTTTTTTTTTTCATTTTCATGATGAAAATGCCCTGATTGACTCCCTAATAATGGTTTAACTTAAGAGTAGTTAGTAAATGGGTCTAACTAAATGGTTAATTTGAAGACTGATGTGGCTGATTAATCTTGTATTAAATAATACTTCAAAATGCATAATTAGACTGATTGGGAATGGGTTACTGTATTCATTATTAAGATTAATTACATAATTACTGATTTATGATATCGTTTTTAGGTATTTTAATTGATCATATATTAATTAATTATTAAATTAAATTAAATATTTCATTACATAATTACTGATTTATCATATCGTATTTAGGTATTTTAATTGATCATATGTTAATTAATTATTAAATTAAATTAAATATTTCATTTTGCATTAGTTAATAATTTGGACCTTAAACTAGCATAATTGATAAGGTTAATTAATTATTGATTTGCTATTAGTATAATCAAGTAATCATCATCTATTAATTTATTAAAAATTTAGGAGTGTGAAGTTCATTTAATAATGTACTTAAGCTTCTGCGTTGTACAACAAAAATAAATTTTTTGGCGTTGTCGGCCGTTATTTTAAACTTTATGGTTTTTTTGAAAAAAAAAGAGATATAATATTTGTAAGATATGAAAATAGTTTTGATGTAAATATGATCTTTGAAAGTAATATTTTAATTTTAAAATAGATGAGACCAAACGAGTATCACATTTTGGATAGTTTGGATGACTGA